GTTATATTAAATTTTTATTGATATGTTTATTTTTATATGCATATAAGAAAACGGTGTTTTAATTGGTAACTAGTGTTGGCTGGCCACACTGTAAAACGTTTTCAGTCTGCCTGCACTTCAGTTTTCACCCTCTGTTGTTGTTTGGGATGTTTAATCTATGGATATGGCTAGGTTCACAACTCACAACAGACATTCGGGTAATTCGGCTGTGTTTCGATTGTTATCAACTGAATGTCGATTTCGTATCGTATTCGTCGTGTAGAATCGAACCGATGTTGTTATTGTGAGTGAAAATTTAAAAACGTACGTTTTCAGGAAAAGCACTTTGCAAATTTTTTTCCCCTTTTTTCAAAACTTTTATTATTATTTTTATTTTATTAACTTTTGAAGTTTCATAAAATGTCCATGGTAACGCAATATCTTTGGTATTTTTTTTTAAAAGAGCATCTTTAGTAGAAAAACACGAAATCCTGTCACGACCATAACAGACGTTTAAATGAATATTAAAAATAGTTAATATTATTTTTATAACTATGTTTTGCTATAAACTAATTTACTTTTATGACCATTATACAATAAAAAGGTCACTGAGCTTTTGGTATATTTGGTCTTTCTAGAAAAAAATAAAAAACTCAAAAAATTGAAAAAAAGCCAATAAAATCTTTTAAAGTTTGTATAACTCCGAAAAAACTGACCTGAGACCCGAAAAATCGTTATGTTTGTATAGAGGTGTGCTTCTTTTGTGTATAAAACATTGAAATATGACGATATTTTAATTTTTGAAATTTTTATGATAGAAATCATAAACGTGATGGTCAGGGACAAGCGGTACGGTCGTGAATTTTCTGAAATAATCTAAATCTTTCTAAACAATCCTTCAATTATACTGTTAGTTATAATAAAAATAAGTGTTTAAATTGAACTAAACTGTTCAAATTACAATTATATTAAAGTTATTGTCACGACCAAACACACTATAATCCATAAGGCTGGATTGGTCGTGAAAAAACCCGCGATGGTCGTGAAACTTTGGTCGTGAAATTACGTGTTATTTGGCTCTGTTCTGGCGGTAGCCCTGCACCTCATGTTTGAGGATACAAAGTGGACTTCTAGGTTAATCTAGCAATTGAAATATCTTATAAACAAAAATTAACACCATGTCTACTTCATCGAATGACTACGTACGGTCATGGACACACCAAAATTACAAAAAACACAAACTTTCCTTTATTAATCTTGTAATTCCTCCTTTCAACTCGAAACGACCGGCACTACAATCCTGACGTACACCCCGAACTAGTCTCTAAAACCAACTGACTCCATCGACGCCAGGCTTGCCACTGTCGTGCTCCAAAGTTGAAAATTTTTCCCTAATGGTCGTGACGCCAAATCGAGGGACAGACTTATTTTGTCATGGTAGTCAGTTTGCAATGACAATAAAATTATAATATGCTCCTTTTTTGTAAGTTTAATAACCATTGATGACATAAAAATATGGCTTTATATATTTCGGCATGAATAATTAGTCTAAAAACAGCGTGAAAGTTGGAAAATGTACCCTAGGGACACGTCATGGTCGTGAATTTTGAGACTTTAAAATTACGTAAAAAATACCTAGAACCTATTTAAAACCAAATAAATGTGTGTAACAAGTTGCCCCCGTCCCAAAAATATTAAAACACATAATAATAAACTACAAATCCAGTATCTACGAAGTAAAAGGCCAGGGACATGAAAACGTACGTTTTTAAATTTTCACTCTTGTAAGTTAATCTTCCTAGTAAGATACGTGCAAGAGTAAGATAAAGATACGAGTACAAAATACAAACATGCCTTGTTTTAGTATAGTGTCCGTTTCAAGAGTGAAGTTGTGTTGTGTTATAAGTCCGAACGAAGCAAAAATGGAGAGAATAAGCATTTGAGAAACTTTAAAAAGTTGAAAACAAACAGATCAAGTATCTCTAGCATCATAATATAACTATCAAAAAGAAAATAGTGTGTAAATAAACCCTTCCAAAATATACAGTGTGTAAATTAAGTACCTATTGAAACAAATATGTGTTTTTTAAACCGAAATAGATAGATATATTCCGTTTGTGACGTTATGATTTTTAACAAAGGATCCGCAACTTTATACATCAAAAATATTTTTTAACCCCCCTGACAAGGTTGGTAGTAGGGGGGGACTTATTTTTTTCAAATCGCAACCCCTATTAAGTGACCCCTCATTTTGAAGGGTTTGACAATACATAAGCAATGGTGCAAACTTGAAGTCGATATGTCACCCCTAGCGAAAATGACAGGTATTTAAACATTTGATTGGGTGAAAAAGCACCCATTTCACCAATTCAAAATTTTAAATACCTGCAATTTTGGCTAAAGGTGACATATCATCGACTTCAGATTTGCACCATTGCTTATGTCTTGGCAACCCCTTCAAAATGAGGGTTCACTCAATAGAGGTTGTTATTTGAAAAAAATAAGTCACCCCCACCCCTTACCTTATTAAGGGGGTTAAAAATATTTTTGATGTAAAACATTCCGGAACCTTTGTTCAACCAATGCTACAAACAGAATATTTCTATCTATTTTGATTTAAAAAATACATATTTGTTTCAATACCGGTACTTAATTTGTTAATTTGCACACTGTTTGAACTACAGAAACAGTTAAAGCGTAAATCAATTAGTTTTCTAGAAACCATCATATTTTATCTATATGATTGATTTGTAAAATACCCCCGCCGCAGCAAACCTGCCGTCTTAGCGAATTTCCATTTGGCTGAATTGATTTTCAATAAACCTAGGTACTCGTTAAACCTAATGTTATTTAAATAGATCAATTATTGATCTATTTAAATAACATTAGGTTTAACGAGTACCTAGGTTTGCTGCTACAAGGAAACTAATAAAGTGTGTGTTTTAAGTAAAATAATTATTGCTTAGTATAAAATGAATATATTTGCCAAGTTTGATCAAAAGATATCCATAAACAAGCAAACTACAACATTTTACAATATCCTCCATAAGAATAACATGGGAATTTTAAATTGACCATTTTTTTTTAGTTTTCTCCGTAACCAATAACCGTAAAAAAACACTTTGATATACTGAATTGTTTGTTTTTTAAGCTCTTTAAGAAGGTTTAGAGGAAAATTGGGAAATTTTGTGTTTTGAGGATCAAAAGTGAGAAAAACCAATTTTTACCCCATAAAACCCCCCATAAAACCCTGTTCCCATGGTCCGATCATGCTGGATCGCGAACTCATTCAAGTTTATCCCGCCTTACACCTTTAAACCAAATTTCATCAAAATCGGATAAACATTACTCAAGTTATCGTGTTCACGGACACACACATATATATACAGGGTGTCCCGGAACTCATACATATATAAAAATTTGAACGAATGGTGTTTTTGGCCTCTGGGGACATCAAAATGAAAAAGTAAATCGGTCCCGGGCCTAAGTGTTACCATGAGACCTACGGTAATAGCTACTTCCCTATAGGGAAATTCGCTAAAAACATAACTGAATTGACATTTTTATTTTAATAATTCAATTAATAGTTTTAGCTCTAATAAGGGGGTAATTTGATTTCAAACTCATTGCGTATTGTAAAAATTGGGAAAAGTAACTTAAGTAATAAGTAACCAAACTTTATTGAAATTCCTCAACATAGACAATAACAGCCTGTGTAACCTAAATTATTAACTTATAAGCGGCAGACGACAACTCCAGCTCCAACGCTGCTTCCGGCTGCGTCTTGTGATTTATTTATTTATTTTACATATCAACGGACAAACTCCGTTTTTACATTCATGCAATCATGCAACAAAACAAGATGGAAAAAAATCATAACAATAATATAGCATTAGCTCTGGCCTTAGTGAAAATCGTGAAAATACATGCATTTAGATTAATATACATAATGATTCAAGGGTAAATAAATAACACATACAATAAATAACATATACAATAAATAACATAATAAATAACATATACAATAAATAACATATGCAATAAATAACATATACAACAAATAACATATGCAATAAATAACATATACAACAAATAACATATACAATAAATAACATATACAATAAATAACATATACAATAAATAACATATACAATAAATAACATATACAATAAATAACATATACAAATAACATAAATAATAAATAGATAGTGAAATATAAAAAAAAAACAATACAAATAGACCAGTGATAGTGATGAATGAATGATGCGGATGCGATGCGAGCGAAATGCGATTTGATATGCGACTTACAATATGTTCGATATTCATCGAACCACAACCGAACTATCCGTCCGATCCGAATCCCGAATGTCTGTTGTGTGTGTGTGATTGTGATTGTATTGTGATTGTGTTGTTGAACCCAAACATAAACCCTTACCGACAGACCGCCACCGCCCACCACCACCCACCACTGCTCGAGGGAACACCACTACCGCAAAGATACGTTGATCAGCCGTATATCTCGGTGGTGGAGAGAATAGAGCACCGGCACCGGGCTGATAATCCGGAGGTAGCACGTTCGAAACTCACCGGAGGCATTAACTTTTTGACTCGATTTTTTCATTATTAGCAAGTTTGGTTGGTTTGGTTAGGTTATGATAGTTTAATTTTATAATTAAAAAATTATATAATTGATTTTTAGACATTTATAGTTTTATTTTATGAACAACTATTTTTGTTATTAGTAAACCTTCATTCGAAATTTTCGTTATCAGCAAGTTTGGTTAGGTTATGACAGTTAAATTAATTTAAATTTAACCTACAAACGACACGTTTTGACAGCGACAGTGATAGAGATAACAATTTCCCACGAACTGTTCGGCTAAGTTATGCACGGTATGATGATGATGCTTTCTGCACGGCGTGGTGGTGGGCGGTGGCGGTCTGTCGGTACGGAACCACCCAGCCCCAGCGCCACCTCTACCTCTGCTTGAAGTTGCTGCTGGTTGCTGGCTGATAGATGTTTGTTTATTGCAAATAAACACTATAGTCTCTTACTCATATTTAGGTTAATCCTTATCAGTATTAGTTGACATCTGGATACTTTCCATTTGAAATGGGATTTCTAAGGACGCCCAATGAAAATAAAATCCTACCCGACCCTAATCAGGTGCCCGTTGCTATAATGTAAGTAGTTTTTCTCTAAGTTATCTTACTAGAAGGATAATTTACTTGGATAAGTTAACAACTCATAAATTGTTTACGTTGCTTATCATTTTTTACTTATCATACAAATTTATGTATTTTAGAAAATACTGTAAATCATACTAACCTAGTTTTTTTTAATTACCTTAAATTAGAGCATTTAAGTTAGCCTCCAAGTCAAACTTAGCCTTACTTATCTGTAGACTAACTTGGTTATCTACATTGATGTAATGTAATACTTAGTCTATTCTGAAAGTCAATGACCTTGACACAGAAATAAACTCAACTTTTTACTATTCTGTGCTGAAATAAAAATATTGCATTGATTCAGGTTAATTACTGTACCTTAGTTATTGAATTTTGCCCTTAGAAATCAGGCCTATAAAAAAATTACGGACCTAAGTTATTCTATCATGAACTCATAGGCCTAGTAATACAATTTCAGTAGTTCTTTGGTATTTGGCCCTCAATAATCCAAACCCTCCAGTAATCCGGCTTGTTTATTTTTTTCCTTGTCTAACTTACGTTGGTGGCATTTTTACTGGAGGTGTTGTACTGAGTAGGCCTACTCAAACATTTTTAGGGCAAGTGGTCTAAACCCATTTTGTGGTAATGCCGGGAATCAAACCTGTTCCTCTCGCATCAAAGTCCGGGACGCTAACCATTAGGCTAGCAACACGCTCATGTCACTGACCGGAACCTCTTCAAAAGTGCAGATTATCCCTCTTGGAGTGCCCAAAGGATCGGTGGTTGGACTTCTTATTCGATCAACGATCTGCATCTAAATGGATTTAAACCTTATTGTTTGCTGACGATACCACCTTGTACAGGGAGCGGCAGAAATATCTGACGGTTTTCAAGCGAGTACAGTCCGGCAGCTGAGTGGAGTGGGGTGGTGGGGAGCGGCTCATTCTCAAGGCCAAGTGACCCCATTTCAGTCGCCATGGAGCAGTGGACCGGTATACATAGCGCGTTTGTCGTTGAGGCGTATTTTAAAAGTGGCGATTCTATTGTTGATACGCAACGTAAGTTTCGTAGGCATTTTAATGTGGCTCGTGGGGAACCTATGCCATCCCGAAACACCATCAAATTGTGGGTGGATAGGTACCTTTAGATCACAGGATCAAATGCAAAACGTAGGCCTACAGGCCGTCCAAGGTCAGTGAGGACGCCGGAGGACGTGGAGCGAGTGCGACAAGCTGTGCTAAGGAGCCCGCATTGCCCGTTGCGTAGACAAGCTGCTGCTCTTGGCATATCTGATCGCTATATTCGACGAATTTTGCACTCAGACCTTCACTTTCACCAATATAAAATGGCAATCGTCCAAAAACTTCAGCCTCACGACCACGCTAATCCTCAAACATTTTCAGAGCAAATGATTGATTTGATGGATGACGAAAAAATTCTTGTAATAAGTGATGAGGCCCATTTTCACTTAGATGGTTATGTAAACAAACATAATTTTAGGTATTGGTCGAATAGTTGATCCTGTGGATCTAAAGGTATCCACCTAAAATTTGATGGTGTTTCGGGATGGAATAGGTTCCCCACGAGCCACATTAACACAACAGAATCGCCACTTTTAAAATACGCCTCAACGACAAACGCGCTATGTATACCGGTCCACTGCTCCATGGCGACTGAAATGGGGTCACTTGGCCTTGAGAATGAGCCGCTCCCCACCACCCCCCTCCACTCGGCTGCCGGACTGTACTCGCTTGAAAACCGTCAGATATTTCTGCCGCTCCCTGTACAATAGGGAAAGAACATTGAGCGATTGAGGGCAGAAGGAGACAATCTGCTGGAAATTACTATAAGGATTGGATAATAGCAAACCGCTTAAAAATCAACTAGGCAAAAACCCAATCCCTGATCTGCACTCTGCGATTGAGGATAGAACAGGACGAGGCTGTAAAGCTGTTAGGTTTCTGGATTGATCCTAGGTTAGGCTGGAATATCCACACAGAGTTGACTTAAGGTTTGTGTTAAGTTGTCAAGTGTCCTAGACCTTCTCACTCCTTGTTCCATAACCACTGTACTTTTGCTGCAGAAGAAAGACTTGAGAGTCATCAAGTTTACATCTTCCGGCCCAATAGAACACTGCCGACCCCTTTTTAAAGAATTGAATAGCTCACTGTTGTCAGCCAGTTTATGTCCTGAACAGCCTTGTCTTGTTAAAAGAGAACCTGACCAGCTTCAATAACAGAAGTATCCCTCACAACCACGGAACACATAGAGCTCATGACTTGGACATGCCTCGCTGCCGTCCAAGTCTAACGCAAAAGCGCTACCCGCACTCTGCTATAAAGACCTTTAAATAACACTTTGCCCAAAAGAGTCCTAAGAAACCTAGACCTAAAGGTCTTCAGATGAACACTGAGCAATTCTCTTTTGCAAAGGCCACTTTAAAGTAGGCCTTGCAAGAGTTAGTTGAGGAACCTCTCATGCTGGGATGAATTTTGGCCACAGCCGCAGTCATTTTTATGTGTTGTAAATATATGTAATTATGGTTTAAAATATTATAATAAATTTGACGCTATCTATCCGTAATCACAGTAAAGATAAAGAAGACAAGTATCAAGTATTCTGGCTTGATAAGCCCTCCTTAAAAATAGAAATAATGTGTGTAACTTAATTTTATATTAAAGCTTGCAGTACAAAAAAGACCAACTAGAATATGAAATTTAATAGCTTACATTAGGTACATTAATTACTGTAATAACTATAACATTGTATTTGTATAGTAAGTACAGCACCGGTAATTAATCTTGTGCAACACCGAACTGTAGGCTACTGTTACTACTTAGGCAAGTGGCAAAAAAACTGAGGAAAAAATACTATAGCTGCATTGTGTGGATTAGATATAAAAGTGCTCAGAATAAATTTATTCAGTAAAATTTACAATATTGTTTTAATTATTCTACTGTATTACATTTTTATTGATATGTCTACCTAGACCTATATTACATGTTTAATGAGTTTAAAATAATTAAGTGGTGTAGACATTTCTTGCTTACAAGTTTGGACAGCAGTTAATTGCTTTCATCAAGCTCATCTAGTTTGTTAACAGACCTAAGTTCTGATTTACAAAAATAAGCTCTTACGTAAGTAAAATCAATCTTCTCTATGTTGGTCCCTATAAACCTACCTAAATATTTCAAATCGAAATCCAATTTGACTACAGACAAAACCTTACAACTTACTACTAAACAGTAGTAAGTTGTAAGGTTTGTCTTTAGTAGTAAGTTGTAAGGTTTTTGTCTGTAGTTTTTACCCCATCCTATTCATATGTGTTTGTTTAACTAATTTTCTGGTTGTATATTCAGTGAACCTTCATCCAGTAGTGATGAGGAGGAAGTGATTGAACCAATTCGACTGCCTGAGCATCAGCCTCGTAGACCTGCCCAGCCAAGACGCAAACTTGTGTTGCAAGCATTGCAGGATGGGATCTCCTGCAGGAACTGCAAAGTGGGCCGCAGATGGTCTCGTAGAATTGATAACAGTATGTAATTTTATTATAGTATAATTTAATAAATATTATAGCCCAAGGATTGTGTTCTATATTGGCAACAAACAATGGCTGAAACATAACTACCTCGCCAAACATTCCTTGATATGCAAGTGTGTAATAAACCTGCTACTCATGTTTTGGCAGTCATTTAAAACTCCTCAAGCATCAGGCTGGAAAAAAATCCACTTCTTAAGGAGTCGTCAGAATAAGTTAACCCACAAACATTATTTACAGGTAGGCTGATCGTGTACATTGCTATGGGTAGAACTGGAAGCAGACTGAGCTTGGCCATGTTGATTAGTAGGCTACTGATACGGTCTCAGGATTATTAGTTGTCTTATACTGGTCTGTTGCAGTGGCAGGGGGGTATTTACTCTATTCTTCCAGTATATTTAGTTAATCCCCTTACTTACACTACTTAAAGAAGTTGGAAGTACCTTCTTTATCCTGATAGTGTTTAGACTGAGAGGTTAGAACTGTGGAAATGTTAGAATCTACGTTCACCACAAGATCAGTCTCACTTCTATTAGCAGCATTTACACTATCAGAGTCCAAGATTTCATTAGGATAAGAATTTTCAATTGAATTGCAAAAATCTGTCAAACGCTCAAAGGACTGTGATGTTATTTATAATTCAGTTTATAAACTGTCTGTTTGTATTACGAGAAAGTTTATCCTTAGGCCTAGTGAGGACAACACCACTGTCACAGTGCACAAAATTAGTCAGTAAACTATCTGTGTTTTTAGAAATGAATCAGACGTTTCAATCTGTATTACTATGAGCCTCAATAAACCTTTTCAGTAGTTACAGTTACACTAGAGCGCGCACTGCTATTTTTTTTATTTTTAGATGCATTCCTTCAAAATCTGCTCAAGGGTGAAGAACTACATGATGATATAATCGAACAAGAACCAACAGTGTTTGAGAGACTTATGTGTAATGAGGATGCTATGAAGGTAAGAAAATCCTCATATTCATAAATAACAATAAAAGAAAGTGTCCAATCAGTAAACCTTCACACCATCCAGATAACAGCTTAAACGCAGGAAGGTAAAATTGTTGAGTCAGTGGCTCAGTCGGTAGTGCCACAGACTTCGGGCCCCAGGCAGCGATGTGGTGGGTTCGGATCCTAATACCTACCACTAGGCCTACTTTTTATCAGTACAGTTCACCCTTTCAGTGCTTTACAGGCTCACCCCTTGCTTTGCTAGATACGTTCCACGCAGAGGTCTAAAAGACCACCAACCTGATTTCCTTCTTTTTATAAAAAGGCTAGATATTTGAAAAAAAATTGTGATCACAGTTACATTGCAATAATTTAATGCGATCACAATAAAAGAAATTAATATCCCACGCAATCTCAGTGACATCGTCTTTATTTCACGCTATCACAATTATTTATCTTTCATTGTGTTTTCTGATAACACTGTAATGAGAAAATGGAACCAAAAGAACACCATTAATAAATATTTAATAGGCTATCGGCTATCTAAAGAATTTATTTATTTTAAATTAAAATAAATTATACACATAAACTTTAAGCTATTAACAGACTCTTTTTCGATCATGAAAATATCATGTGTATGTATGTTCTCGGTTTCCTGGTCTTCCTTATGAATAATTTAATATACAATTTACAAACTGCAATACTTGCGAGTAATATATTATGCTGTTATTTTGGTCATTTGACTTGGTTTTGGGTTTAATATCTAAATGGAAACGGCAAAAATTGTCTACTCATTTCTTTTTTAAATTACCTTCTTCCAACTCATAAATTGCAATAAAAAATACACCCATGAATCATGAAATGAGACACTTAACTTAAACTTGTATGTAATGAAGCCAATATATTTAATTATTATCAAATGTTAACCTTACAACTTTCAAAAAAATGTATTTAACTCATAGCCTATAAATTAATTTTGTTCATTTTCTATTTGATTTATTACCAATAACTGATCATTTTAGGCGTGGGAGAATTTTATGTGTCAACCAGAAGAAGAACAGCACGCTTTCCTGACAAAGCAGTTCGCTAAAGTGCGAGAGGCTAAGGCGAGATGTGCCCAAGAGATGTCTGAGAAGCAGCCTGATGGAAGACCTGACGAAGGCAGAAAATACTTTAAGAGAATTTGTCCCCTGGTTCAGAAGTTCTTGAACAGTGAAGAGTTGCCTAAGGTAAGTGCAAAATATTTCGGACTGAGTGGTAAAGGTTATTTATAACAAAACCAGTTCACGCAACCTGCTTAAACTCTGCATTTCTTTGAACTAATTATTTATTTTACGAGTTTATGTGGTAAGTCAAGGGCCCAAAATAATAATCTAAGTACGTTTTTACTTGAGTGTGACAAGACCTGTATTTTCTATCATTCAATTCAATTCAATTCAAATTATCTTCATTCATCAAGTACATTAGGAATATATACATGAATAGTGTCACATTTAAAATAAAGTTATAATAAAATATACATGCTTATAGTAAATAAGAGAATCGTTACATTCTAATAGTAGAATTTTGTCCCAGCGGATTTGGGTTTCTTTTCAAAAAGGTGCAATTTATGAGGACTTAATGCTAAGCTGTAGTGATGGTCAAATCCAGAAATTTCAAATCTCAAAACCGAAACCAAAACTTAAAAAAATCGAATCCCGAATCTTGAATCTCAAAACCTAAACGCAAAACTTTTTACTTAGCTGGTTACAAAGGTCAAGGTTAAAAAAATACAGTACACGTAATCATAAAATGTTAAGAATGCAATCAAAACTGAAAGAGATCGACTCCTGACCCTGACATAGCATAAATATGTGACTGATGATCTTAAAACCCAATGCAACATAATTTTTTATAAATAAAAAAAAATTAAACTTCTAGCTACACAATCTACAAACAAAGACCTACTAACACCAACCTAAACATGAATATTAGATTAATTAGAATAGAACAGTGGTCGCATTTCATTGTGTTTAGTAAATATTGATGTGAAACTGAATCGTACCAGTTATAGTATTTAAGACACCTTTTGAAGTTCAGAATAAAATTTACTTGTTTCATTACTGTTAATGGTGATATGTTTGCTCGATTGCTACCAGCTTATTTGGAAACAGTGTTGAAAACAATAATAATGGCACAAAAAAATGTCAGCAGTTTCAAAGATAAAACTGTCAAATTCTTCAATTTCAAAACTTTTGAATCTCAAAACTCGGTGAATCTCAAAACCGAAACTTTTCCTAATTGATTAATAAGATAAATTATTAAATTGATTCTGAAAGAATTGATTCCTTCTAGCTCAATTTTTTGTCATGTAACAATGTTGTATTTTGGGAAGATTCTGTTGATTTTGTGTAAATACAGATGTATTAGTTTTAAGTCTTTATTTAACCATTGACAATATGTCCTGTTATTATGATGTACTGACAAGTAACTCAATTAATAAATAAACTAATAAATAAATAAATAAATAGGCCAAAAAATTTTACAAAACTAAAACAATTTTAGCTAAAGCTAGGTAAAGGTGAAAAAGTACTTGGGGCGTAAAGAGGGTAATATATGACTCACCAATAATCCAAGGGTGAAGAGTAACAAGAAACACTAGAGAGTAGAGGTGGCACATGTGCGGAAGCCGTGAGTGGATGGCGGAAGACGACGTCTTGGGAAGAGGGTAGCCAACTTGTAGGTTGAGTAGAGATGAGGGAAGTGTGCACACTTTTGGGGAACACTTGTGGGGAATCCAGTAATCCTAATCCACTAAAGTTGGCACTTGACACAGGCACTCGCGACGAAGACGCGGCGGACGTAACTGCTTAGCGGCGGCAGCGATAACGTACTAAATAACTTATTTAAGAAAAACACCCTTTACAGAGTTTGACGTCGAGAAAGTTTTATTAATTGTTCGTGACAAACGATAGAAGAGCGTTAGAGAGTCCGAGAAGCGGTTTTAGAGGTAAAAGTTTATAAACAGAGAACGACTAACGAAATACGGCGCAATGCACGTATTCAGCCGAGGAGAGTTACATTTCAACTGAACATTATTTTTGGAGGGGGAACGGACGCTACCTCAATGTTTCTTAGAGGGGTACCGCAAATTTATCCATGTCCATATCACGCCACATTTTTTAACCAATAGGATTCGTCCTGCATCGGGCAACACAGCCGAGATAGTGTGTGTGTTTTATGTAGGCTTGTGTGAGTGAGACTCTAACATTTGATACAACAATACTTAATGAAATTGAAATGAGATTTAAAAATACAGATTTGGTTTGGAAATAAGCTATCACTAATTGAACAATAATTATGATGATAAATATAGTAATAATTAATTAAATACAGAACATCCGGGCCCCCTTGAATCTACTTGGAGATTCAAAACAAAATACAAAGGAACACATTTCAGACACCTAAGACATATAATTATAACTAAAGCTATATACATGAAGTGCTATCAATTGATAGTCTATTCACAACCAAGAGGTAGTGGAAACACTTTTACAGCGGGTCGAGTGAGGATGCCGGTTGCTGTCTTCAAGTGTACCACTCGTACCACATTGTCTTTGCCAGGAGACACATCAATAATGCGGGCCAAAGGCCAGGTCAGAGGAGGGGTAGATTGCTGTTCCACTAACACAAGATCACCGACTTTGAGGTTATCTTGGTGCGAGGCCCACTTCATCCTTTGTTGCAAGGTGTGCAGGTACTCTTGCTGCCATCGCTTCCATATTCGCTGATGGAGTGCCTTGACGAGATGCCAGTGCTTCAGCCTGTTGGTGGAGACGTCTTGGACATCTTCTTCAGGAACCGCAGTTAGAGGGGCGCCGATCAAAAAATGTCCTGGAGTGAGAGGTGTCAGGTCCGAAGGGTCGGATGAAAGCTGCGTAAGGGGGCGTGAGTTCAGAACGGCCTCTACCTGTGTTGACAGAGTAGAAAATTCTGCCAAAGTCAGGATGTTCGTTCCGATGACTCGTTTGAGGTGGTGTTTAGCGCTTTTAATGGCACTTTCCCATAACCCACCCTGATGAGAAGCTGAAGGGGGGTTTAAGTGGAAAATAATCCCTTTGGTAGAGACAAAGTCCTTAAATTGGTTTGAAGATTGAGCGGACTTAATAATCTTCTTAAGGGCGTTATCCGCACCTACAAAATTCGTACCGCAGTCGCTGTACAAGTTGGTACTTAACCCTCTTCTTGAGACAAAACGAGTTAAAGCCGCTAGGAAGGCATCGGTAGTCATATCTGTCACTACTTCGATGTGCACGGCCTTAGTAGCCATACAAACGAATATGCACAAGTAGACCTTAACGTGTCTGATTGAACGTAAGTTGTGGACTTTAACAATAAAAGGGCCACCATAATCCATTCCAGTTGAGATGAATGGTCTGGCAGGAGTGACACGAACTTTGGGTAAATTACCCATTTGAGGCGCCTTGTTTTGGGGTCTATTTTTAAAACAAGGGATACATTTGAATATGCGTGAGCGGATAACACTACGCGCACAGAGGATCCAGAACCTTGAGGCTAAGAGAGATTGAGTGAGTTGAGGTCCGGCATGAAGATGTGTTTTGTGACAGTCATCTATGATAAGATCTACAACATGGTGCCTTTTGGGGAGCAATACGGGATGAACGCTGTCATAGGGGAGCGAAGAATTCTTAATGCGGCCGCCTACACGAACTATTCCGTGCTCATCGAGAAAGGGTGACAAGCGTTTATACTTAGAATTGCGGTTTTCTGATTTCTGGAGATTGGCGATTTCTTCAGAAAAACATGATTTTTGAACAAGTTGGATAATTTTTGTGGTTGATGACTTAAGTTCATTTGTAGTGAGAGAACTTCGCAGCTTGTTCGATCTTCTCGCGTTGTAAATGAAGCGAAGGATGTAAGCTGTAATGCGTACGAGTTTAGTCCACGAGGAAAATCTTGTCAAAAGTTCCCATTCAGGGTTGGAGTTCGAAGTGAAGACAAAAAGTTCAGCCACTTTTGTTTCTTCTGAGCTATCTAAATTTACAGGTGTAAATTGTCTATTAGGCCAGTCTTCGCAAGGTTGAGAGAGCCAGGATGGCCCGGTCCACCACAAGGGGTGATTTTGGAGATGAGTGGCAGTTATTCCCCGAGAGGCGCAATCTGCGGGGTTATCCTGACTGGGTATGTAACGCCAGCAATGTGAGGGGAAAAGTTCTTGAGTCTGAGCTACTCTGTTCGCCACATAAGTTTTCAGTCTGTATGGTGATGTTTGAAGCCATGTTAGAGTGATGGAAGAGTCACACCATAGAACAGTACGAGAGAATGTTACTTTATTCGTAAACATAGAGAGGCAGTATGATGCTAGTTGAGCAAGGAGATGAGCAGCACATAGCTCGAGACGAGGTAGAGTGACTCGTTTTAGAGGAGATACACGAGTTTTCGCCAATATTTGACGTACAGTGACATCACCGGATGAGAGTTTGCATCTGAAATAGAGAACTGCGGCATAACCGCTTTCTGAGGCATCTGAGAAGCCGTGAAGTTCAATAGCGCTTGAAACTGAAAACTGGAATGCTCTGGGGATCTGAATATTGGAGAGAGATTGAGTATTAGTTACAAAGTTTTGCCATATTGAAGTTAAGTCACTTGAGAGCTCTTCGTCCCAGCCTAATCCTGTGGTCCAGAGCAGCTGTATAAAGCATTTTGCTTGCATTGTACACGGAGCTAGAAAGCCACACGGGTCGTAGATTTTAGCAACCAAGCTGAGCACACGACGTTTGGTGGGTGTCTCATTAGCTGCATCAAAGAAATTTATATTGAAGGTGAAACAATCAGAAACTGGTGACCAATGCAGTCCTAATATTGAAAATAGAGGTTCTTTAGCATGTTCCAGAAATACAGGTAATTCAAGATGTTCTTGGGGCAGAGCTTGAAGGAGTTCCTTGGCGTTGGATGACCACTTCCGGAGTTCAAATCCACCATGGGACAGAAGGCTAATTATCTGGCTTTGAAGTTCTAGAGCATCTTCGACCGTGTCAGCACCTGCGATTATATCATCAACATACGTATGGGAAGTTAAAACTTGAGCAGCAGCAGGAAACGCCTCACCCTCGTCTTTAGCTAGCTGATGAAGCGTTCTAATAGCGAGATAGGGGCTGCTGTTGACCCCATATGTGACTGTAGCCAGCTGGTAGGTGGAGAGGTCCTGGGAAGAGTTATTACGCCATAA